ATTTGATAGAATAAAGACAACTTGAACAGGAAGAGGTAAATGACAGACTTGTGATTGGACACATCTATTTGATAGAATAAAGACAACTTGAACAGGAAGAGGTAAATGACAGACTTGTGATTGGACACATCTATTTGATAGAATAAAGACAACTTGAACAGGAAGAGGTAAATGACAGACTTGTGATTGGACACATCTATTTGATAGAATAAAGACAACTTGAACAGGAAGAGGTAAATGACAGACTTGTGATTGGACACATCTATTTGATAGAATAAAGACAACTTGAACAGGAAGAGGTAAATGACAGACTTGTGATTGGACACATCTATTTGATAGAATAGAAACAGATATACTACTGAACAATATGAAATACAGATAAAACAGAATATACAACTTAAAACTGATACAAATATGAATAAGTTAATACTGCAGTCATTATTACTGAAAGCGTTTCGTCAGTATCAAAATTACCTTATATTTAGTAAATTACTTACCAGAGGCGTCGCTAGGCACTGGCACACGGGGCCCGTGCCCCAATTCTACTTGACAGTGCCCTGAATCCATACTTAGTGTTTTGAAAAATCAGAATAGAAAAATCATGATCGAGATCATACTGAAACGCCGAATGTTCCCGCGCCCATGGGCTCGAATCTTTTAAGCACTTAGCGACGCCTCTGTTACTTACTACAAGATAGAATATTAATCAGTTAAATAGAGGGTGATAATAGGCACGTCTAAGTGAAATATAACATTTCACGTAGAGTGTTTGTTTTTCAAAAAGAAGAAAGGCGATAACAACATCAAACGGTTACTTAAACCCACACCCAAACTTATATTCTGTTAGTTTGACCCTGTTACAATTCAAGGTGTAGAAGAAAAAACAAAACAAGTCTTACCCTGTCTCTCTAGATTCCAGCGATAGACGTTCACTGTGAGCAGAGAGAGAAAGAACCATTAATATTTGTTAGTATCTCAGAAGTAGCAGTAGGATAAGAAGCACCATAGATCCCATTAAGACAGCTTATTGGAAACATACGATGAGTACGATTTAAAAATATATTTACGACTGTATTGTAAGTCTATAATGAATTAGGCTTAAAGACGATATTGTAAGTCGATGATGAACGAGGCTTAGAGACTCTATTGTAAGTCTATAATGAACTAGGCTCAGGGACTGTATTGTAAGTCTATAATGAACTAGGTTTAGGGACTGTATTGTAAGTCTATGATGAACTAGGCTTAGGGACTCTATTGTAAGTCTATAAAAACGAGGCTTAGAGACTCTATTGTAAGTCTATAATGAACTAGGCTCAGGGACTGTATTGTAAGTCTATAAAAAACGAGGCTTAGGGACTCTATTGTAAGTCTATAATGAACTAGGCTTAGGGACTCTATTGTAAGTCTATAATGAACTAGGTTTAGGGACTGTATTGTAAGTCTATGATGAACTAGGCTTAATAAATTGAGCTTTGAGATAAACATTTTTTTACATCTGTTACTGTTCTTCTGTGGCTATTTTTCGTGTTGTTAAAAATTAAATATTTATATAATTATTAACTTTATAAGGCACCAGGGGGAGATCCTCAGTGGATAATGCTGCTTTAAACATAACTTATTAAAACAGCACAGAATGATAACGTTACGATTATTCGTGCTCAATACTCAGTATTATAAATGTTTATATAATGAAACAAACCTTCTAGTTATCCTGTTAGGAAAACTGAAATACGTGTTTCCATTAAAAGACACTGGGCGATCCCGATCATCTTTCGCCATACCTAAAGTAAATAAAAAATAAAAAAAGTGCTCAGCGAAACTTTACTGAAATATCCCAAAGTTTCAGTGAGAACAACCACACAAGTATAATCTCTAACGTCATGAACTAAATCGCCATTATGTCTTAGTTAAACAATTAGATATTTTTAAATATTTTTTAAACGTTGTTGATCATAGCTAGAGAAAAAAACGAGCATTCTTACCAACATTTATAGCATGAATAAAATTATCGCCACTGTCATAAGTTAGTGAATTAAATCAACAAAAATGAAAACTATAAGTGAGTATTTGATGGTAGTAACAAACAAGGGCGGCCGTATAAAAAATATTAGGGGGGGGGGGTCAAGTAACTCAAGTTTGAAAAATTATGAAATCGAAATACAAATACCTTATCCAATAACAGAAGAATAATTTTACATATATATATTATTTATTTCTATTTTTAAAATCCAGGGAGGAGTCAAGTGACCCCCTTGCCCCTTCCTGCGGTCGTCCATCGATAATCTAGTAGAGGAGTTATTGATAGGGATATAAGTTAAATATTCTGAATATTGTTTACAGAAAATCCATTGATTTAACTTTAGTTTTGGCAACAGAAGGATTTGGCTTACTCTGCTCACATCGAAGACCGATAAAATCCATGGGACATCGGCACGTGAACTCGTTCAGCTTGGGGACACAGATCCCTCCATTCAGACAAACTCCTTCTGTACAGGGAGGTCCGGCATACGGTGTAATTCCGTGCGAAGTTGTCGCTTTATCCATGAGATTATCCCATAATTCTCCGTTCACCATGATTCTCTGGATAGCTCCTGTTAATCCCTTGAATATTCCTGAATGATGATTCACTGCAGACAAACTTTTAAATCCTCCTACAAACAGAGGCTGATGAAGGTTTAATTCACTCAACGGCGCCTGAGAAAAAGAAGTCAACCAAGGTTAAATTACAATCTTATAATCCAGAATATACGAGAAAGACACTCGTAAAGATAATATTGTTGGGATATATTTAGCTACATAATTACACAAATGTTATATTGTTGATATGGTGTGGATTCTTTACAATAACGTTATATTGTTGATATGGTGTGGATTCTTTACAATAATGTTATATTGTTAATATGGTGTGGATTCTTTACAATAACGTTATATTGTTGATATGGTGTGGATTCATTACAATAACGTTATATTGTTGGGATATATTTAGCTACATAATTACACAAATGTTATATTGTTGATATGGCGTGGATTCTTTACAATAACGTTATATTGTTGGGATATATTTAGCTACATAATTACACAAACGTTGTATTGTTGATATGGTGTGGATTCTATACAATAATGTTATATTGTTGATATGGTGTGGATTCTTTACAATAATGCTATACTGTTGATATGGTGTGGATTCTTTACAATAACGTTATATTGTTGGGATATATTTAGCTACATAATTACACAAACGTTATATTGTTGATATTACGTATTTCTTTACAATAACGTTATATTGTTAATAGGGTGTGGATTCTTTACAATAATGTTATATTGTTGATATTGTGTGGATTCTTTAAAATAACATTATATTGTTGATATGGTGTGGATTCTTTACAATAATGTTATTTCTTTACAATAATGTTATATTGTTGATATTACGTATTTCGTTACAATAACGCTTGACTTTATTATGTTAGAATTATGTTGTCGTTATGGTGTGTTTTCATTACAACAATTTTATATTGCTGACAAAGTGTGTTATCGCTGTCATTTTGCTAATATATTAAAAAATTTAAATAATTTCATTATCTTAAAAATGTTAGCTTATATTTGCACCAAAACTAAACAAACTAAAGAAAATTATGACATTAAACAGACTGACATTATGTATTAACATCAAAGAGTTGTACAGTTTAGGTATTAACACCAAAGAGTTGTACAGTTTAGGTATTAACACTAAAGAGTTGTACAGTTTAGGTGTTAACATCAAAGAGTTGTACAGTTTAGGTATTAACACCAAAGAGTTGTACAGTTTAGGTATTAACACTAAAGAGTTGTACAGTTTAGGTGTTAACATCAAACAGTTGTACAGTTTAGGTGTTAACATCAAACACTTGTACAGTTTATTTGTTAACATCAAACAGGTGTACAGTTTAGGTGCTAACACCAAACAGTTGTACAGTTTATGTGTTAGCATCAAACAGTTGTACAGTTTAGGTGTTAACATCAAACAGTTGTACAGTTTATGTGTTAGCATCAAACAGTTGTACAGATTAGGTGTTAACATCAAACAGGTGTACAGTTTAGGTGTTAACATCAAACAGGTGTACAGTTTAGGTGTTAACATCAAACAGG